TATCAGACTAGGCCATCTCAGAGTAGTAAAAACCAATCTAGAAGTACTCTTCTCAGACGAACTTGTGTTCAGGCCAAAAACCCATGAACTGCAGAACAATTTGTCTATAAATAGAGGCTCTTCTGGCCCATGTTTTCCTTTCCCCTCCTCATGCTAGCTGCAGAATAGTAATAAGAGATATTACTCAGCTTTCATCACCCTTTGATTAAGAGATCCAGAGATTATTAGAGCCCTTGAACTTCCCTTACCTCAATTTTGGCCATAGAAAAGTAATTCAGAAATATGGGCGTTGATAAACGCACGCCAGCCCCCCTGGCGCACGCCAAACCGCACACCAGGTGCGGATTGGCGTGCACGCCTGGACCGGCGTGCAGGCCTGCACGCCAAGGATTCCTAAACGCATATGTATACATATGCGTTTAGGATTGCCGCCGTCCCATAGGACCCAGGCATGTGTCCTATGGGACGCCCCCTTTTTTTCATTTCATTTCTTTTTTTTTTTTCAAATCCCCTCCACCGCCGGGAGGAACCCCTCGCGGCAAGCGTATGTACACGCCAGCTTCTTGGGAGGGGTTCCTCCCGACGACCTGGATTATGTACCAGCTTGCCTGGAGGAACCCCTCCCGACGAGCTGGTACATATACCAGCTCGTCGGAAGGGGTTCCTTCCAACGAGCTGGTACATATACCAGCTCATTGGAAGGGATTCCTTCCAACAAGCTGGTAAATAATCCAGGTCGTCGGAAGGAACCCCTTCCGACGAGCTGGTATATGTACCAGCTAGGGGTTCCTCCCGGCGAGCTGGTTTCTATACCAGCTCGTCGGAAGGAAACCCTTCCGACAAGCATGTACACTGGCTCGTCGGAAGGAAACCCTTCCGACGAGCATGTACACCGGCTCGTCGGAAGGGAATACTTCCGACGAGCTGGTATAGAAACCAGCTCGTCGGAAGGAAACCCTTCCGAAGAGCATGTACACCGGCTCGTTGGAAGGGAATACTTCCGACGAGCTGGTACACAATCCAGCTTGTCGGAAGGGAATCCTCCCGGCGAGCTGGTACATATACCAGCTCTTTGGAAGGGAATCCTTCCGACGAGCTGGTAAAGAAACCAGCTCGCCGGGAGGAACCCCTCCTGACGAGCCGGTGTGACATCGGCCTCTTTAGGCCGAGGGGATTTGAAACAAACAAAAACAGAAGATGAAATGAGATGAGATGATAAAGAAAAAAAAACAAACAAACAGGGGGGGCGAGGTCTACACTCTGTAGATTGGTGTGCGACGCCACACGCCATGTTTCTTTGGTGTGCGCGCCCGCACGCCAATTTTCTTTGGCGTGCAGGCGTGCACGCCAATCCGCACCTGGCGTGTGGTTTGGCGTGCGTTTATCAAGCCCCCAGAAATATTGCTTAGCCATTCTCACCTCTTTGAAAGAAATTAGAGAAATAAGTGTACCTTTTATCAGAGCCCAGAGAAACCAGAGAGTCTTATTAGAACAGAGAACCAGAGAGAATTTATAACAGATTTAACAGAGAAACCCTTCAGAAACCCTTGTTACTCAGAAAGCCCCACCAACTCCTTACCTCCTCAACAGGTATTCTTAAGCAACAATAACAGTAGTATCAACACTAAGATAAATTTAGAAATAAGCCACACTCTTATTTTTTTCTTAGTGTAACTTTCCCGCAAGCTAGACAGGAGGGCAGTCTCACCCACACATCAATACTAATTCTACTATTCCATAGTCTTATCAGCTATTTTATCCCCTCCAAGATCTTTACTCACTTGCTGAGCAGTTCCACACCGGCTATTAGCGGTGCTATGCTGTGGTATTCCCATACCTACCCTTTTAAGGTCATTGTTGTTTGAATATGATTCCTTGTCTTAGCCCTTGAAAGAGGAGAGTATCAGGTAAGTTTATCATATGATTGATAAACTTCCTGAAAACAAGATTTTCATTGTGCTGATCATGAAATTTGTGATCATTTGCAGAGATAGGCTGTTCAATAAGTGAACAAGAGAAAAGCAAGATCATAGCTTGTGAATTGAGTAGTGACACCAATGACATCACAGAAAAAGACAGTAACAATGATCATGATCAATCATTGAGATCTAGGTGAGTCTCAATGGATTGAATCAGAGTAGCATGAATCAGTAAAAAGGAGCAAATTACAAGTTCTAATTCTTTGTCTACTCAAAAATAATCAATCATTTCCTTTAGTTTACACTTGCACAAGTCTATCAAAATCAAGCTTATTAATCAAATTTTTCCACCCTTGATTGGTGAGTAAGAGCATTCACATTGGTTGGGTTAAATTTCCGGGCTAAGGCGAGTTAACCCAACCAAGCCTGTTTGTGCATTTGCATTGATTTGAGGTTAAAAACAGGTTAGTTAACCAAAAGTTTGATTTCAGGTTTGTGGTCACTAAATTTAGCAATCGCTAACCTGAAATTTAGCAATTTTGTGGGGAGTTGTCCTCCAGGGGTTTGTTAACCTGGACGGATGTGTTTGACAACAGTAGGCTAGCAAAACCGGACCTCCAACCCAGGGTTCCTAACCTGAAACTTAACCAGACCAATGTGAATGCTCTAAAGAAGAGACCAATTGCCTTTTTCTCATATTAGAAAAAGAGAAAAAAGCAACTAACTTAACTATTCTAAATCTGATGATCTTGCATTAGACTCATCAAACAAATAGTATTACTCAGTTGTAACTTGTCACTCACAGAAGAAAATCTTCCTATTTCTCTTTCTTTATTTTGATATGAGCAATAATAAATTCTATAGAAAAGGCTAACAACATAATGATCTTCTGATAATTTATTCAGTTACTTCGATTATTATCTGATTATTAAAATGAATTATCTGAAGTAATTTCACTTATTATTATAAAGCCATTAGATTTTTCAGATTAGTTCTTCCTTCAGGTATTGCTATAATTCTCTTATCTTTCATTTGAAATTTATTAATTGTATTTACTTAAAAGAAGACATACTTATGAAGAAATATAAATTACCTTCAGTTTTAAATTTTTTCAATTTTCACCCATCATCATCATATATTCCACCCTAGCATTTTTCGACATCCCTACTCCAGTCATCACTTTACCCCCAATCACTACCATACAGTATCTTCATTACTCCTAACACACATTCAGATATTATTTCCCTCAGTATTTTCATATTTTCCTTCTTACTACATCCAGAGTACATTATGTATCTTTCACTCTCATTCCTTATGCAGTCTCACTCCTTTTAGCCACAATTTATATATTACATTTCATAAGTTAGACACAGTTGATTCAAGAAAAATACACAATGAGGGTTTTTCAGAGAAATTTGCCATGTACCTAGAAGCAGTTGAGACCTGTGTCTTATGAAATAATTGGAAGAAACAGCAGTGGCAGCGGTGGGCCGCTACGCTACACTACGCTACAGGCCCATGTAGCGTTAGCGTAGCGGCGCCATTTTTTTTTTTTTCGCGTAGTGTTAGCGCGCCGCTACGGCCGCTGCGCTACGCTAATTTGTAGCGGCGCTAACACTCGCCAATTTTTGGTGTAGTGTTAGCGCGCCTCTGGCGCCGCTACGCTGCGTTACGCTACGCTACAGCGTTTTTAGCGGCAAAAAACCCCTAAAAACCGCTAAAAACTGCTGTAGCGCAGCGTAGCGGGCAGTTTTTTGCGCCCTGCGCGCGTAGCGTTAGCGCACATGGGGGGAATCGCGCTAACGCTACGCTAAACGCTAGCGCAAGTTTTTTCCCCATTCGCGTAGCGTTAGCGCGGAAAATGAGAAAAGCGCTAACGCTACGCTAAATTGTAGCGGGTTTTCGCTACACTACGCTACGCTAACGCTACGGTTAGCGTAGCTGGCCCACCGTTGGCAGTGGTCCAGCTACACTAACCATAGTGTCAGTGTGACGTAGTGTAGCAAAAAAACACTAAATTTCAGTGTAGCATTAGCACATTTCTACTTCTGCGCTAATGCTACGTGTTGGTTAGGATAGCTGGTGTGACAGATTTTTCTGAAGAGCTTGGTTATGTGCCTTTATACCATCTTCATCTTCCATAAAGTGGCCAATAATGTGAACTCAAGGTGCCCCAGAAGGTCCTTTTGTGCATTTTTGTGAGTCATGTGATGTGGGTGGATGGGGGTGAGGAAATGTTGGGGGGGGGCAGGATTCGGGGGATGTTGAAAGTTCATAGATGCATAAATGTTTTTCTTTTCAGCCAAAAAAAATGCAACTATGATTTTTGTATTCAGGCATTTATGCAGTTCAACTTTGAATACCATTGCTACTGAAAGCCCCAGGCGGTTTGTTTCTGGGAACTCTACCTATTGGCCCAATAAAGCTTGAACCAGGGGGTTTGTTTCTGGTGACTCTTCCTATTGGCCCAATAGAGCTTGATCACAATTGATATTTGCTTGAAGGTAAGAGTGATCTACAGGTGTTTGAACAAGTCTATTTATTATTCTGTCAGTTTTTCTCAAAGTCTGACCAACAAACCAGTATAAAATACTGCTGCGTTGACATCACTCCAAGTCCTGTCCTTCACCACACATACTGGTTCTGAGTCCAACACAAACATCAGCAAGCCCAATCAAACCTGGCCCTTTTCTGATTATCTGCTGTAATCTGTGATGCATTCAGTATACTTAGATATCCTGAATTTTGCACCTTGGATTTGCCGTTCAAACGGCTTTGATGTGACCAATCATACAAGGGCTCATTCCAGGTGGCAGCCAGAAGGAAAAATGCTTATATTTGGGAGTCCTTGAGAGTACTCAAACTTACAGCTTCTACTTTAAATTTATCACGTGTTAGGTTTCCAGTCCAAAAAAAACAGATACAGGTCTAGGTCTCTTGCAAAAGAAAAGATTATATATAGACAACCTGGTCCCTTCTGGCTTCCATAGCCAACAATTACTTCCAGCTTTCAGAGTCAATCCAACTAGACCATATATTCCCTTAATTTTCAATACTTTCCTCCAAACTCATCTCGATAAAATGCACTCGCGCTTCATGCTTGCGGGCTTGTGCTCCATCTCAACAACTTTTGATGGGGTCATTGGGCCAGCGATTGAAGGCGGTGCAGAAAGGGGTGGTATTGGACTCAGTCATAGTAATGCATTTTTTTCACATAGAACTTTATTCCTTACAGCAGCATCGCTTATTTGTATTGCTTTGATGCTGATTTTGTCTTCTCCATCATTATTTTATACTCCAACCACCAATTATCCTACAAAGCACCGCCAGTTGCACTTGCTCGACAGGACCCTGCTGGTGATGGGGAACAGCTAACCTCAGGAGTCGCTCAATTTGATTTCCCCGAGACGTCCACAACTGCAGCTCTTGCCGATGAAGACCAGAAACGAAGATTTCTCTTTGGAAAGCCAATCCCACTGGAGACCCCAATAAAAACCAACAAGATGAAAACAACTGGTGATGGGAAAGAGCGACCATCAAATTCTGCTTGGGTTGATGTCCCTGAGACATTCACTAGTGCTGTGGCTGTTCCCGATGGCAGACAGGGACAAGAATTGCCAGACAACCCAATCCAACTGTACACTCCAGTGGAAGCCAACAAGCTGACTACCATTAATGATGGGGAAAATCAGTCATCAAATGTCGCTCCAATTGATATTTCCAGGACGTCCACTAGTGTAGGTCGGTCCGATGGATATCAAGAACGAGAATTGCTTTTTGAAGATCTAATCCATTTGGACACCCCAGTGGCTGGAAACAGCGGTGGGCCGCTACGCTACACTACGCTACGGGCCCATGTAGCGTTAGCGTAGCGGCGCCATTTTTTTTTTTTTCGCGTAGTGTTAGCGCGCCGCTACGGCCGCTGCGCTACGCTAATTCGTAGCGGCGCTAACACTCGCCAATTTTTGGTGTAGTGTTAGCGCGCCTCTGGCGCCGCTGCGCTGCGTTACGCTACGCTACAGCGTTTTTAGCGGCAAAAAACGCCTAAAAACCGCTAAAAACTGCTGTAGCGCAGCGTAGCGGGCGGTTTTTTGCGCCCTGCGCGCGTAGCGTTAGCGCAGATGGGGGGAATCGCGCTAACGCTACGCTAAACGCTAGCGCAAGTTTTTTCCCCATGCGCGTAGCGTTAGCGCGGAAAATGAGAAAACCGCTAACGCTACGCTAAATTGTAGCGGTTTTTCGCTACACTACGCTACGCTAACGCTACGGTTAGCGTAGCTGGCCCACCGTTGCTGGAAATAAGCAGATTACCCACAAACGTTAGTGAACTTTTCCATCATCGGATTTAATTACAAGTATCTAATGACTGATTTTCATGGTAATCGTCTTGATACTATCAGAGACACAAAAAACCAATAGTAAGTCATTCTTTAATTTAGAGGTATTGATAGACAAACCCAAGAGATGAGGAATGGGAGCCTCGAGATATCCTCAAAAGGAGTCTCAGACAATTTTATCATGGTCAGGGACCCAATTCCATCCGTTGGGTGTGGTTGACAAAATTTTTGTTTTGGAAGAGGCAGTTTTCTTTCTCATATCTACCCAAGATACCATCCCAGGAAAAACCTTGCTATTATTGGTAAAGATTCTTTCCTGAAGACTCATTGAGCCATACATGCCTCCCAGAGTTCACTTTGGGGCAGACATGCAGCATACCAGCTTACTGGAAAAGGTTTCTATCATGAGAAATCATGCTTTTGGGTGCACTGGAGTTTGCACGACTTCTCTCAGAAAACAGGCAGCTTTTACCACCATTCCAAGGGGAGTACTCCTGGTGGACAAGATGGCAAGGAAAAATCATCCTTGAAAGTGGTAGCACCTGAATCATTCCAATCAGATGTATCTCCACTTATCAAAATGGGGAGAGAATGGAACAGATGTCCCCTGAGGCTGTGCCTAATCACCAATTTACCAATGACGCCTAACTGGTTCCTGCTTCCAAATCAATCATCAAAACCATCGAAAGAATTTTTGTGATGTTCTTTTTGATTATATGTCGTGTTCATTTTATCATTCTGGTTGATTTGATGTTAAGATATGAGGAGCTGATGTCATATTTTCTATTTTGATAGAAAACAGTTTGATTTGCCTCAATCACGATTTTGATAAACTCAGCAAGTTGTTTGGAGAACATCAGAACCCCAAGGAAGTGGATGATTTGTTTCCAACTCAACCTGCTCATAGAATATTATTGAGAAATATTCAAGGGAACATGTTGATTTTGAAAGATCTGAAGCTTTCAAAATTAGGCAGAAAGTTGGAAGATGAAGCAGGCCTAAGTACTGAAGAACAGCATCAAATTGCAACCACTTTGAAAGAGAAAGTGGGACTTTCAACTTTGGAGAAAATCCAGAAAGGAGTGATTGATTATGAAATCCTTCCTTATAACAAACAATATGCCTTTGAATTCATAATTCCAGATTCAAAATATATGGCCTACTTATTGCATTCAATTGATTTTTTATGGAAGAATGGATTTATTAAAGATGACAGTGTGAAGAAAATATTTGAAGATGATCTATTCTTGAAGAGGGCAAGTCTTTACATAAAGAAATACTATTCTTTTAAGCTACACCTTATAGATCAAATGGGCAGTACCAATATAACCAGGAAATCGTTTGGGCACTTGGGATTTCAGTTTTTGGAAGGTAAGTGATTCTTGTAATTCTTTTATTGGAGATTTCTACCATGCTTCAGTGTGCAAGTGGAAATTTTATCCTGCTATTATTTCCATGTTGATTCAAATTTCTAATTTCAAAACAAAACATCAATGCAGCCCTAGGAAACCAAGATCATTTGAGGATAAAAATGGAAATTATACATCAAGCTGCTTTGTACATGGAGTATCTTTTGAAATACCTTCCTGGAAGTAAAAAAGGATTACACGACTTCTGTGATATACTCTCAAGCCAGAAGTACTACACTCACCTGAAATCTGGGAATGGGTTCATAAATTCTGATAAACCATTGGGTAACTCCATTTTGACAGTGGAAGAAGTTAAAAGGGATGTCAAGAAAGCCCTTGGTAGTTCTATTAGAACATACAGTCCAATCATTGAGTACATGATCTGGCATGGAAATGAAATTTACATAGCAACAATGATCTGTGAATTCCTGCATTTGATTGAAACTCACATTTGTCCAGGTATCATAAAGCAGGCAGCAAATGAAATGAAATTAAATCTTCTCAAAATTCCATCCCCTCAAGATTCTAGAGAAGAGCATCTAGCATATTACCAACAAATGAAATACTTTGAGAAAAATCCTGTAAAATACTATCAACACAACGCCTTAGACTACTATCAATCTATCATGTTGTTTTCAAAGATTCAGGATCTCAAGCGTAGTTCACAGGCTTTTAAAAACTTGAGACATGATCAAATCAAAATTTTGAAAACTCAAGGCATTGATGTTAGATCAATCCAGAAGGATAACCAAGATAGACTCAAATTACTCAATCTACACTTTAAAGATGTATATGAGATGCTCCAGAAAGAAAATTGGGGGTGGGAAAAGTGGTTAAGTAACCAGGAAGAATTACGTCAACTTTATGAAGAGGTTTTTAATCAATTGAAGCCTAGTTTTCCACGGAGGACTATTCGGATATTCCAATCATGTCTGGGTTAACTTAGATCTCTTGATGTGTGCTTGTAACTATGATTATCAGTTGCATTTCTCCTCTTTTACTCTTCATTCAATTCTTCTTACTTTCTCAAAAGGTATATGCTCACAGTAGGATGACTGCTTTCTATGTCCCACCGTTTCTTAGTTATGTATCTGGTTCTGGGTTATTATTTCTTTTGAATTTTGATCTTGCACTCAAGATTTGCATCAAACATTTGGTTTGGAAATTGGTGAAATTTCTATGTTGGAATTCTATTTTGCTTATTTAAGTTTTGGTTGACATGGTTTGTTTTTGGGTTGTATCTTACACTATCCAATATTTCATTTAAAAAATCTATGCAATCTCCAATTTTATGGAGTAGAGTTAATACAGATAGCTTTCAGGGTCAATCCAACAGCTAATCTACAGATATTTGGTTTGGAAATCTAAATTTTTTTCTAGATTTAACTCCGTTCATTTTTCCTTTGCCAATTTAAGTTTTGGTCAATATGATTTATTTTTGGTTTGTGTCTTGCACTATCAAAATATTGCAGTGAGAAATCTTTGCAATCTCCGATTTTATTGAGTGGAGTTCACATGGAAAGCTTCCAGGCCCGTCTTGTCAATCCGACAGCTCTTCCACCATTCATCCAAAGCAAATCTTTGGACATTGCAGCTGGGTCAAATAAGTCTAGGACTAGTATGATGGCGACTGTTTCGACCAGAATCGAAATTTGGACTCCAAATTTAGCAGCCATAATGTTGCATCTGGTTATGTGAGATGCGGTCTAACCATCGACTGATGATAGAAACCCACAGAGATTCATAGCGAATCGTCCTTTTTGGTGAACTGGATATTGAATAAATTGGATTTGCTGTGATTCCCAGGCAGACTCCGTGAGCATTGACGAACGAATGAAAGAGGACAGGGCACAACAGATCTATCGGAGCAGATGGTCGAGACATTTTCTAGAGATTTCGATAAACGGGCTATCATCGAACGAAGCCGAAGTGGGAGTGTTTGCATCTGGAGGCTCGGGATGTTCAGGAGGGGGGCGCTTAGAAATGCTGATCGGTTGGCCCGCGTCGCTGGACTTCGAGATCTGGAGGTCGAGCGGAACTTGACCTAAGAGCTCGACATTATTGCGCTCTAGGACCCGTTTGAAGCTGGTCATCGGCCCAAAGATTTCGTGCTTCGTTTCGCACTTTGTGCACTTAAATGAAGACATGTTCAGCACCGAACCTATTATCTATCATTATCATCGTCATGGTGAGAAGGTTAGAATTTAGATTGATATTTTGGTCGTCTTTTTTCAAAAATAGGAGGAACTCAACTGGAATATTCAATTTCCTGAACATGTTGACTCCTTTTGTGACGTCGATCAAAGCGATATCCTGAGGGGTAGTAACAATGACAGCACCTAGAGAAAGCGGAAGCCGAATGAGTGGGAGAGAAGAGAATGTAGAAGATAGTAGGGTTTTGGAAACGAACCATGAATGTTGACCAGTTGGCCGAGACTCAGGGCGACATCGCCTGTTCCAGGGGGCATGTCGATGACCAGGATATCCAGTCCGGGTCCCTCTTCCTCCCCGGCTCGGCCCCTCCAATCGACATCGAAGAGCAGCTGTTGGACGGCCTTCATGACCATCATCCCTCGCCATGCAACCACTGAATCCGGACTCTCACTTGGGGGAATTAAGAAACCTATCGACATGCACGAAATGCCGTGATTCCGCAAGGGGACTAATGCATTCTCTTTTTTTTATATGTATGTACAAAAAAAGGCAAGAAAGTCAATCTTTTTTTTTCGAGTCATCTTCTCTGAGTTTTCGGACATTGTTCAAATTTGAACGCGTATAATGTACGAACTTACGATCGGTTAGTTCCGGCGAAAGGCCTTCGTCCAAGCCCATCAACTTGGGTACACTGGGGCCAAAGATATCGAGATCCAATAGTCCGACGTTAAGGGCCGATTGATTTCTGATCGCGATCGCCAGATTGACTGATATTTGAAACAAAAAAACATAATGATAGCCCAGTCAGAATTTGAGCTACACGTCTAGCGAGAGAAGGATCAAATGAGACAGACCAGCGACGGTACTCTTCCCAACGCCACCCTTGCCACTAGCCACCACGAGTACTTTCCGGACATTCGGAATATCTCGTTTGGTCGGGAGCGAGCGGGAGATGTTGAGCTTGGGAGGAGAGCCCGATCGAGGGAGGCCGGCTTGTTGGGCGGGCAAGCCGAGTGGGTTGTCGTGCGATCGAGAGGGACCACTCGAGCAGAATGTGTGGGTTTGCAGGTCGCGTGATCCGCGGCTAGTCCTGCCGAGAAGACCCGGTTGGAGTCTCGGTCGACGGAGGAAGGCCGATGAGGGTAACTTGAGCATTGCTTGACTTTTTTTTAAAAAAAGGAGCGAGAGAACAGGTTTACATAAACATTGTACTCCAACTTCAACTGTTTCAGGATAAGCATTCAACTGGGATAGAGCAATATCACCAATATCACTGGGCCGCTAGTCTCCAGGCGCTCCGTGAAAATCGGCTGGATGGTCAATTGAGAAGGAACGGACCCGCTAGCCTCCTTAAGAGCTGATTATCGACGGCAGCGTTGTTTGTTTTCCTGATCAGTAGCATCCTTGGCCAGTGGATGTGATGGTCAAGGGTGTGGTGATCTGGGCGGCCATCGTCGCCGGCACAAGTCAAGGCGACTTATCGGGGAATAAACGGGGGTCTGGGGCTACACGGGGCCCCGAAAGCAAACATGCCATAATGCCATCGCTCGCGGAGAGACCCCCGATGCGCGAAGGACATGGAGACCCAGACAATGTCATGAGGATGACCAACCGTTGTTGCAGCGCTTTGCTGCTCCGACTTGATCCCAGAAATCTTTCATCTGCCTGGACTGCGCTCCTGTTTTGTTCTGGTTCAAGAAAAAAAAGTGCATAGGTTCAGTGGTGAAGGATGAGCAGTATCATATTTATTTACAAATATTACGAGCAAGCAGAACTGATTTGGGACCAGGTTGCACAGTTGTGAAGTGTCGACCTCGTTCGATCCTGTTGGATCACTTTTTGAAACTTATGTATTTTGCGCTTCTAGGTTTGGTTTCATTGGTTGTTTCTACGGTGACCTCGCCGGATAGCAATCCTTGATACATACTGGTGCCCTTCAGGAAGGGTTCATCAAACATTCCACTCCTCCACGCTTGACCGGTGCCAGTGTTCTTCATTTTTGGATCAACGCATAGAGTCTCGCCTGGCTTGTTATCAGCTCGCTCCTTCACACTATTATTTCAGCGTAACGTTTTTGCGACACTTGTCCCGCGAGTTCTGTGTAGCGATCTGCAAGTTTCAAGTCACCATGCCTTTGGTTAAGATCACAAACAAAACCCCGTACCCTATCAATGTGGCGTTATCAATCATTGTTCCAATCCATTTCTACAACGGACTGTTACCCCAACAGACTTGGGAAACACAAGTAGGAAGTGTATGGTTTGTCAGAAGAATTCTCTTAGATTGGTTATTCACAATAAGCTGTTGATGATATCTTCTTTCGGGCAAATCTGCTTTGGGATCCTAGGTTTAAATTTGAGTGCCGCGAGGATGATGGATCCAATCGATATTCGGTTTCGCAATCTGCAATGACGCTTGGGCTATTCAGTCTTACGGGTGCCAGTATTGCAATTGTTGCTGTTCCGTTGGCGATAACCGGCCTTGCTCCTATTGCTGGATCATCGTGTACATTATTGACTGCGTTGGCTGGAAAGCCACTCATCGCAGCAGCTGCCACCCCTGAGGTCAGTTTATGTTTGCTTTTTCTCGTATGAACGCTTAGGCATGAAGGTCATGAGTTTGCTAAGAACAACTACCTTCAGGTTTTGACATTGACGACATGGATCGCGACAAATCTAACGAGGAAAACCGTCTATCAAATCGCCAGTGAACAAGGGCTCAAGGAAGAAGAACTGGAAAAAACGCTGCAAGAGACAGGTACCCTTCTCGATGGACTCAAGTATCTCTGCTTACCTAACACAACAGACCCAACTAAGGAAGAGCCACCACAGGCACCCGTAAATCTTCCCAACACACCCGACATCCAAGCCGTTGAAAACTCGAAGAAGGCGCTGCTGGGACTCTTGAGTCCGGAGATGCTCGACAAATTTGCAAAATTTTATTCTTCCAAAACTGAGAAGATAACGGATCCTAAACCCACGCGTCAGCCTCAACAATCAAACCCAGAGCCTTCTCCAATTGGCCAAAACAATTCGAATTTGAAGACTAAAAATGTCAAGGAATCTCCATTGGATAGCTTGACATCCGTCTTCCATGAATTTTCGAAATTTCAACTTCAAAACATGAAACGTAACAAAGGAAAATCAAAGAAAAGAAAGTCTGATTTGGATAAGGAGGATGGTGGTGGTGATGATGATAATGAGTCAGGGAAGAATTGCAAAGAAGTTCACGAAGCAGAAGACGATCGGGAATTGGTTGAAAACGAGATCATTTCAAGATTCAACAATCAACCAACATTCAACGCAAACGAAACAGTTTATATTGGCTTCAATAATTTATATCAGTTTGAGTGGCATACAAACAAAGATATTCACCAGAATCAAGGGACTAAATTTGTACTAGTTGACACATCAACTTGAATTCACATTGATCATCTATTGTAAGCATCTTTGTAGTCATATTAATACCACTATAGATTATTGTCTCCTGCTCTGTTTTCCACCTGTTATTCATGCTGTCATTGAGGAAACTCAAAAGAATTTTTCATATAGCTTTTAGAACATCTGAATTTCAATATCAGTTACATGCCCAAAGAAAATCACACAGGTGATTTGTAAGAATTTGGATATTAGAAAAGAGGTGAAATCTTGTCTTGGAGTATGGGCCTAGGCCCTAGGGGAAAGGTAAGTGAGAAATCATTTTGGTACCAGTTTTCATCAATGATTTAAGTTATATGTAAAACATCTTTGGTGTTGAAAAGACCTTGAGAATCTGAGAAAATTGGATCATGCATATCTTCCAAAAGACACAAGACACTGAATAATTTCTGTAACTTTGTAGGGTTTAGAGAGAAAAGGTTCTGTAAATCTAAACCAAACAGTCAGAGGGAGGTTGCCAAATGATAGTATTCTATTTCTGACATCACTAGTCAATATTATTTTTGCAGGGATGATTGAAAGTCATGATCTGAGTAAAGTCTGAAGCTCCTACAAATTGTGTACCCAATTGATAAAATTTGGAATATTGAGGGTCAGCTTGCACATATATAGTTCCTCTGATGAGGGAAGGAAAGTGTCAAAAGCATTATCAAGGAAATTGGCCTCAGCCACCTTCTTGCATGGAGTGCACTTTTTAACTCTTGGTTTTCATCAGATTCTCTTGTGAAGTTCTTTAAGTGATTGATTCTTAGTTTCTACTGCTCAAGTAGCTAGCAAGGGAAAGCAACATGTTTTATTTAGACCATGTATGTACAAATAAAAATTTTTTGAATGCTCAGTTGGGCCAGCCCCAGAGACTTGACTGTAAAAATCTTGGTGTGCTTGACTGCCATGGCATTTCATGTTCCAAAATGAGTACTTCTTGACCCAGGATTAGCTTGTTTATAATTTTGATGTAATGTTGATCCTTGCATGAGTCAAACCAACACTACCAATGTTTTTCTTGAGGATGGTGCTGAGCAGATAAATTCACTGCTCATAGGGATCTCAACATCTTCTGATCCGCCAGTGTCTTACTACAAAATTGAGTGGAAAAGCAAAAAAATTTGAGGTGTTTCTTGATATCCCTGATGAATTAGACAAAGGGTTGATCACACAATCCCGAATTAGCTAACAATCCCACTGCTAGGTGTTGCTTGGCTTGAGATTACTTCAAGATGCTGGTACAGTGTCAAAGCCTTTTGAAAACTCCCAAGAACCAAGATGCTGAATCCCTAGCTGAACAAATTCGCCCGGGGGGGGGGGGGGTGCGACGTGTCGTGGGCAGTGGGAAATTGCATTGAACCCCCCTCTGTTTATGCCACAGCAGAGTGCAAGAACATCAGACAAGGGCAATTTTGACCAGCCAGCTATACATCCTAAATGCTTCGAGGCTCAATGATTACCCGAGGATACTCCATCAAAATCATGAGCAATTTTTTGTGCATTGAGCTTGTCTCCCTCTTCTGAGTTCAAACGAGTTTGAACTTGGATGCTTCGATGGAGCTATACACAGACGCTGCGCTGGCTATCAGTGTTAGAGACGGCGCTGGAGTAGTCAGATTGCAATTGGGTTTGGTTTTAGTCAACTGTTCGTTGATGCTCGTAGTAGCGGCAATTTGTATTGCCTTAATTTTAAAGTTTGAAGGTCTGAAACAAGAATCCAGACATCATCACTAGGGATTGTTACAAGATATTTCAGCCTGCCAGACCTGCAGGTCACAAATTTGCTCACAGAGCTTGGCTGTCAAACCATGAAGCGGAGCAACTCGGCGGTGTTGTATTGGTCGGACTTCCGTGCCGGCCTTGCCCGAAGTTTCCTGAGGCCGTATGTATCTTCATCATTCTTGAGCGAGTGACTGCGCTGCTTCAAATTTTGTGAACAAGTATAAATATTGCATACAACTCTGAGGGTATCTGTGGTTGCTTCCTCCCAGCTTTTGCTATCAAAATTATCCTACCTGATTCCTCCGTGTTAGACAATGCAGAAATATAAACTGCAACTGTTCGTGTGGATTTCAATCATTTTGGCTTCACTCAATTATAAAGTCTTGGTCACTGCACTTAACATTGAGCTTCCCGCTTCAATTGAGCAACAAGCTAGCAAGGAGCACTCTCTTCAGTTCAAAAATGAAGGCGAAGGAAATCTCAAAGAATTAATCAGTAGTGATTTTCCTAGCAAACCAGACGAGCTCAAGTCCAGCGATTTCGTTCCAAGAAAGAAACATCCCGAGGGATTAGAGAATCATCTGGAGGCTTCTTCAGCACCGAGAAGTGAAAAAAGCGTGAACATTGAGAAAGAAGATGGACAAAGTGATGGGTTACTCGGAGCAAATGGAAAACGGGAGGCGTGAGTGGTAGAAAGAGACTGACACTTCATGAATCATAAAGACTGAACTTTTGGTACCCTATCAGTTCAAAAGAAGCAGAGGAACTATACTCTCATGTAGAGAATCCCAAACCATCAGGGTTGATACATGAAGTGGAAACTGAAAGAAACACCATCACGGAGGAGAAGGATCAAGGACTGGAAAATTTGAGTGGAACACAGAGAAAGCCAGAGGAGTGAGTGGAAGGAAGAAGTTGATTAGTACTTTACTAACTGCTTTTTATATCTATTTTCTCCTATCAGTTCAGATACAGATGTCAAAGTTAAAAATGCCGAGCCATATGAGTCTCCTGCAAAGAAAAAATCTGTTTACAATTATGATAAAATAACCCCGACTACGACGCTTGAGCCATTCCGAAACGGGTTCTACAAATCTACTTGCTTTCCAAGCCCCATGCCAGCCGATGATCCGGATGAATTTTGCATATTTGTTAATCCCACCATTAACAATGGACAAGGAATGGTGATCGTCATTCCGGAAAAGCTTTTTGGAGAAATGCTCGACAAAGATCTCAGCCTCTCTGACGATCCACCAGACCCTGAATCCATGAAAATCGTGGAGATGCCTGAAAAAGGTGGCCGGGGGGTCGTTGCTGCTCGAAATCTTCAGACGGGTGATGACGTTGTGCGGATGCGCCCTGTTGGTATCTTCCCGAATTATGAGCCAACATGGAGATCAAATCCTCTAGCCTGTAGTATTCGCCGACAGGCTATTGATCATTTACCGCGCCAAACACGGGCTGCTGTGGCGCGTCTTGCTACTGCGGATGATGCTGAAACAGAGGACGAATTCATTTGGAACGTGATTGATACCAATAATTTTGGTACTAGACTCGACAATGAAGAAGATTCAATGATATTTGGGGCAATTTATTTAAATGCATCGTAAGTTTGACTATTTGATTCGAGTTATCGCAGAACTTGGTCAATGACTTCTTTTCACAAACAAATGAATTCCTGTAGCCTATTTAATCACGCATGTCGGCCCAACTTGTTTGGCTTTCTAAATTATGAGACACAGCTCCTTTATTTGAGGGCTTTTGAGCCAATTTCAATGGGCCAGGAACTCACCATAAGCTGTGAGGAAATATTACTGATGTAAATGCTGCTTGGGACTAGCACTTATATGTTAAATTGCAGATCTTTCCCAAGAGATGGACGCTACAGATTTAGAAAGTCGAAGGCAGAAACTTCAAGGGTCATATGGCTTTCTTTGCACTTGCTCCCATTGTCAGATGAGTGAAGGACAGAAGGAGGAGTCGGATCGACGACTTGTGCGAATCTCTGAGCTTAGAGACCTCTACAACAATGGTTCAGATTTCTCAGCTGATGATGCTGAAGAGCTGGTCAAAATTGCTGAGCAGGTGTGATCATGAACATTTTCTGAAGGATACTTGCAGAAACATGAGCTGACTTCTTCCCCTTTCAAAAACAGGAAAAAATCCCTTGGGCTATCATAAATGCACACCTGACAGCTGCTAAATTCTACAATCTGAAAGGTAACACAGAAAAAATGAAAGAGCATGCTGAAATATTGAGAAGTCTGGGATTGATGTTTGATGGATCAGGTACATCTGCTATCATGGATAAGTAAATATTTCTCATGAAACGTGAGAAATATAAATGAGGGGAGATTTGCCATTCAGAATATGCTTGAAAACTTAGATGTATCAATGGCCAATAATATGAGACTTCACAACATGATGTGTTTTCCAATTCTTAAGAAATCTTTTTTGATTTCATTCTTTGAGATTTTTGATTGTTGACTGTGACTGTATCAATCAATAAATAAGAGAATATTGAGGCTTGCGATTTCTGGGATAGTAGTCAACCATTGATTTTGATGATTATTGATCTGAAATTTGGTCAAGTCCCATGCTTTCTGAGTAGATTTATGTCTGAATTAAAATGAATAGATGCAGTTAGTTTTTCAATTGAATATGATGAGTTTAACAGCTTCAACAATGTACCTGATTGATTGTTTTGAGGTGAAATCAATAAAATGAACTCACTGGATTGATTCCCATTGGGCAAGATGGAATGAAGGAAGGATATTTCCTCAGACAGTTCAACTAATGTGATTGAGCCATTTGAATAAAGAAACTCCCAGCAAGCTGCAAGTGTGGAAAGCATAAATCTCCATTCCAAAAATGGCAGCCTTCAAGCCGTGCAGGTAACATTGCAAGCTTTGTGACTGAAAACACAGTTCTGTTTTTTATTCATTGAAGAAGTGTTTAAAGGAAATTCAAAAAGAGGCCAGTGAATTCAATATTTACTTAAAAATAATTAAAAATGAGTTAAAACACAAATGTCTCATCAGATTAGCCCCAGGGTGTGGTTAAAGAGGAAGTAATAATAACTGAAAACAATCACTTTTTCTTTAATTTCAAAAAATATCATGGCTTCAATTTTCAATTATTCTTGCAAGTGATGTTGCTTATGATGAAATCAAGCAGAAATAATCAGGTGTGGTGTTAGTTATATGTTCCACTTATTATCTTCCTGATCCAAAGTAGTAAATCATTTATAGCCGGGGAGGAGCCCCTGTCGCCAAGCTGGTATATGGTACATCGGCTGGCGGAGAAATGCTTCCAAATGAAATAGTGCACTGACAGCTCGCCAATGGGAAGCTGTGCCCAACTAGACGGAAGATTGTGTGCAGATTCGCCGGCGAGAAGTCGACCCCGGCAAGGCGGTGCATGCATGGTATACCGGCTCGTTGAGCTCATCCCCGGCATGTCGGTAGGAGATATACATGTAATTGAGGGAGTGACCTCCTACTTCAACGCTCACACTCGACCAACAACCCCTAACCTGCCAAAAGCTGGTCCCAATAGCATGCATCGCGGGCCGATGACATCGATATCAAGCAACGGTTGGGGTGACATTGCGCAATTTTTGGGAGTCGCTCTTTCATCACTATTAGTTTCAAGGTTTTAATTCCTAAATCTACAACGCAATACGAAGCCGAAAGGGTACACTGGGTCACACTGCACAGAGCCGCTAATGCTATGATCGTTTTTTAGAGAGTAAAATTCGTTGGATCAAACCCACAATCTCCTTGCAGCAATTTAAAGTAGATTGATAATAGATCCTGGTATGTAAATATTTGAGTTCCAGATGTCTTTGAAAATCCGTCTTGCGTAACCTCATCATTCCCCTCTCGCGTAGCACCCCAACCCATCACATCAATCCACATCAGGCAAGAGGTACGTCATCTAGTGCCATACATTCAGGCACCGAGATGCGTGAAGAGTCCCTTTCATAATTAAACTCTCAAGTTGAGATTTTTGATTTTGTTTGTTGCACTGGTGCCAGGTTCAAACTTCATTGAGCTGGTAGTGTGTGGCGTAAAAATGGCCAAGCAGCTGCTGGCAGCGGCCGATGCACGTCGGGATGATTCAAAATACGAGTACTACATTCCGGAATATTTGAGCTGTTCATGGACCATGCAAAGAGAAAAACTGAGACTTGCTTCATTTCTCCAAGGCTGGCAGGATATCTACAACCTTGAGTGCAGATCCAGATACAAGTAAAACATGGCACTCATTGCAACTTGAATTTCCATAAGAATTATTGACTTCCAGTGAATCTCTCCATACAAGCCATCGCCAACCTCTGATGGGAAGGTGATCTGTCGTGAGTGAATTTATCTTGTAGTCCCTGAGACAAAAATCAGAGCACGCGCCACTAGTACTTGAAGCCAAATCCGTGAGACCCAGTCATCTGAATAAAAGCCAATCTCATGAACAACATCTTGACTGCGCGTCGCAGACTCTGAGGTTCCACGATAACCAGCGGGAAAGATGGGTAGTGCATGATGGGGGTCGCGTTGAGAGAGCTCAGCGTATAGGACCGCTGTTTACGGTGAATCATGGATGCTTGAGTTGGTCGCGAAGATTTTGAAAATCCCTAAGGATAAATAAAGGCTCCCTCAGACTGGAGGAAACATCACTGCTTCAATAGAAATTGGTTCATAACCGTAATCACCATTTATCATCATAACACCAAGGAGACATTCATTATCCAGTTTCAAGCACAACATGATACATTCTTCAGTAGTTGCTTTGTGTGTGTTCTTGCTAGGCGCAGGAGTTTCCGCCACCCTTGATCCGGCTACTGGGTATGCTTCTGGAAAGAAACCTACGGACAGCTGGATAGCAACTGCCTCGGGTAAGCTTAGAAATGTTGATTCTAGTCAAAGTCATTCAAAGCTGAAGTTTCTATCAACAACCTTCTTTTAGCCACTTCGTCTTCTGAAATTCAGGCATCAGAATGCTCCCATAATACTCGGATGTCCAGTGCGTCAGATCACATGAAAAATTTCCTCCTTTCACGGTTTCATTATCTTTCCTACGGTTCAGATTTTAACTAAACACGACTGTTGTCTACAGATCAGAAGTTTGCTTGGTTCAAAATCGATCCATCCAAAGTTAATCAAAATGGTTCCACTTATGGGACTTGTTACGCAAGTAATGTTGGTTTCTCCTTCTTGAGTCCAATTTTTTTTAACTTTGCAGTCTTCCTCATGAAGGAATCCGAGGATGAAGACTTAGCTGATCAATCGTTATTGGTTCTGGATACGGCCTGTGCGAAAAACAGACGGCACCTGATGAGAGTCAACTTGAAAGTAACAGCGGTTATGATGTGTTTTTCTGGCAGTGAGTCATCTGATCTTTCTCGGAATTCTCCAACTGTTTTACAATCCCTTGTCACTTTTTTTCTGACAAAATCTTGTGTTTGGCCGCGAAAACTCATCAGAAACTCTGGAGGCCAGTCGGGAACAGGCACCGGGCCCATCAAGGATCCGAACACTGGAAAAGCTGGATATGAAGATAATTCTGGGAAGTTCCATCTCGGAAATGCCCCTGGTGATGGCAACACTCAGCAGGAAAGTACCGAAACTGCCACTAGTGCAAAGCCCGACACTCAATCTGGAAACCCCAACCCAAGTGCCGACAGGTCTTCGGGCACGGGACGAAAGGCGGCTGAAAAGAATCGTCTTAACGGTACCGGTTTGGCCAAAATCAGTACGGGTACTGGTGGGGCGGACAGTAACAGCGCTGGCAGCGGCCTTGCTGGCATGGGGAGCTTCCAACAATGATTAGAATAAATTGTTTCAGAATCACACCTGTGAAATTGTAGCGTCACGTCCTGTTCTCTCATCTTTGGAATACATCTTTAGCATTGCCGGAAGCAAGGCCTGCAAACCGGTTTTTGATCTTTTTGGCCCATTTTTCATTTTTTGAGGATGCCGGTCCCCAATAGGGTCTGTGAGTCAGAGTGGCAGAGCGCTTATTCTTAACAGTGGGATGAGGGTTCCATACAAAAGGAAAGTTCTGAATGTACTTGAGGGCTCGCTCTTGCGCTATCCTTGAGTGACAGTCTGACACGATTACGGCGGGCCTGCTTATGCCGGTGCCCGCCGCCCGGCCTCGGCTACATAGCCCGGGCCCCAGTGCCGGTGCGACAGGCGGCCAGGTCGCGAGTGGTCATGGCCCAAAATGTCTCATCCAATCGCAGCTCAGGCAAGACCACACCTCTCAAACAGATGGAAATCACTCACAACCGGGGCGGATTGACTCCCTCTCAGAGGGAACACTATCGGCAACAGGTTCGTCGCCTCCCACCAAATTTTTAGCTCATCGATTCGCTATCCACAGATACACTGAACCAGCTCTTGTCCAACTTCATCATCCATCAAAAACAAATCAAACGCCCGTTCGTCGCCTTCGAAACCCTCCAATTCATCCTCATCCCATTCGGGCTTAGGTGTTTGGGAAAATCTGTGAGGGGATGCGCTTATGTCTGGAATTGATGAACAAGGAAGACATCGAGCTAGAAAACGCCGACCTCATGGTCCGTCTCCGACCTTTCAATTCGCCCGCTTTTATTGTCCCGATCCTCCAGGAACTAATTGAACCCTTTTGGACTGGACCGATTAACAACTCGTAGAAATTCGTGCCAATGTTCAACCATTGCGTCAATCTCGAGCCACGACAACCCTTTCCACACGAATATCTTGAACCTCTCAGTCTCTTGTGTGGCGATGGTGGCATTAAGAAAGCATTGGATTCGGGAAATAATTCGGTTCTGCTTGAAAAGTGGGTTCCAATATATAGACGATTGCTAACACTCTCGATATCGCGAAATAAACAAAACAAAGGAAACTCCCAGAACAGTTAACTTGATTCTCTCGTCATTTCTATCATGATCACCTCACCACACACGTCCATCGTGTTTAGTATGAAATAGTTGAGTCATTCCCTATGTCCTTCGCGATCTAGATCGCCGAATCGAGACGCTGATAACCACTATGCTTAACAGTTTCTTTCCTGAATTAGACCGGTTATTCCAACCATCATATGTGCCTACAGATTTAGATATTCTACATTGCGAAGGAAAAACATGTCAAGGAAAAGCAACTGGGAAAACGGAAACTACGATGATAGACCAGTCAAAGTTGAGGATGATAGACCGGTCGCAACAAAACCTATCCGATCTGTTACTCATGGATCAAGCAATTGAAATGGTGAACCTCTCTTCTCTTTTCCTTCGGCGTTCCCCTCTGGAGAGTTTTGCTCGGTGAGGAACCCCTGAGCTTGTTTGGGCCGTTCGTTTTGCATCGCAGAGTTTGCCATCGATTTTGACTTTTATTTCGGATGACAAATGCTTTTCTTGCCTGAAAAATAGGCCAATGAAGCTTTAGTTGCAAATGAAATTCCAGTGGGATGTGTTCTAGTGAGTAAGACGACGGACAAAGTTCTCTCCAAAGGAAGGAATCGTACCAATGAGACCAAGAATGTAAGCTCCTCTGTCGCCGAAATGCTATTCCCCAATTCTCAAATGGACCAGGTTTTCTTTTTCTTTTTCTTGTAAGAAGAAAGCAGCTAATCAGTGATTCAATGAACGAAAAAAGGCTTGTTTACATGCAGAATTTGATGCGATTGGCGGGCTCCATTCAGTAACTCCAGCAGACAAGATCGATTGGAATGATGTCAAACTATATGTCACCGTCGAGCCTTGTCTAATGTGTTCGTCTGCGTTAAGACAGATTGGAATCAACTTGGTTTATTTCGGTTGTTCCAATGACAGGTTTGGTGGTTGTGGTGGGGTGGTCTCGATTCATAATGAGTTTGGTTTTTGTTTTGCTTTCCTCTGTCTCATTTGGATTTGATAAACTTACGGATTTCTTTCCACCTTTTGGTACTCATCGAAAAAAAAAAAAAAACAGCCCGAGATTGATTCATAGCCAGCCACTGACTGCACTGGGTGGCTACAGACGTGAGGACGCTATCATACTGTTAAGGAAGTTCTACATAACTGAAAACACAAATGGTAAATGCATTCTATCTTTTCTGAGAGAGTTTGTTTGGTCCTCTTGGTTGGTTGCTTTGCCTGAGTCTAATATGTGTACCACATCAAACCATCTTTTATTCCTTTCAAAACAGCCCCAGTTCCAAAGAAAAAAACCAATCGCGTACTAAAAATGGAAATACCTGATTTGTGACTTAAAACCTTATTTTAACTTGTAGTATTTTTGTGTGGAAAGAAAGAAAAGCTCACTGATGCTGACATGATGGTTAGTGTGTTATGTATTTGCTACTGTTATGATGCTTTTTGGGTAATATTTGAGTGACTTTTGTAAAATGTTATGATCAGCCTGATTTGAGGTGTTTTACTGATGAACTCCGAGAACAAAAGTTTGAGTTTGGCAATTTCCGTGCAGAGTATGGCTTGAGTTCTTACATGCCAATGGCCACCAGTTTCTTGACTGTTTTTTGTAGTGATAACTATCAACCTCTGGCATAATTGCTGCCACAAACAAACTCTGTTACATTGAATTTTCAACACTTCCCAATAACATCCTAACATATCTCACTAAAGTGGCCCACCTCTGTAATGGGTACAAGGATGAATTGAGACAACCCATGGCAGCCAGACCCATTCATAAATGGGGTGGGACAGGTTCCATCATCACCCTTACATTGGAATTGATCCATAACCCAAAAAACATATTTCACTTCATTTAAATTGAAGTAGCTGTTAGCGCACAATTAAATTGGACAATTAGTGGCTTATCTATTCAGTACCTTCTTGATAAATTACACCCCCAACAATGAATCAAAATAAGCTCAGGCCAATGTGAGGTATTTGTGTACCAGATTATCATGACCTCATTACCTTATTTTCATTACAAATCCAACTTCCAAGACACTCAAGCAATTGCACCAAATTTTCACAAGAATATCTTTTGTCTTGGGTCCAGAAATCCAACAAAACCTCAACTTGCCAAAGCAAAAGAGAAAAGAAAGTTGAAGAAAACAATGGTAGATTTTCTGGATTGATAGTATGAGACAGTTCCCCAAATCTGAGCATCTAGATGGTTGCAATCTGGAATTGGAGTTTGAAAATCCCCTTAAAACCAGCACTTGGCCCCTATGCTTCCAGCAGCCACTGCAAGAAACAAATCACCCAACTGTTTGCAGTTGAGATGTGATATTAAGAAGGTGCCTGTGTAAGATTTCATTTTGACTGCCAACAGTTGCACAACTTTTTCATGCGGATAGAGTGCTGCTTTCTTTGTGTCCAAAATTTGTACAGTTGCACATGGCATTCTGCTGTACGCACAGCTGTCTGCAAACACCAATTGCCTCACTTGGGGGAAACCAGTAACTTGTCAGTGACAAGCTATTTGGCCCAGTAAGTAAATTTGTATTATCTTATTTTTCACATGGTTCATTTGGACCCATCACGTAAAAAATGCATAAAAATGAGTTAGGATGACACCTGGGACCCAAAAGTATGGCATACAAACCCATACAAATGGGATTAAAACATAAACATGCACACTTGGGGGTACAATCCAATGTCTAATCCCTCCCCAATTCAACCCAACAATTCAAAAAACCCTACCTTTTTGGTCTCAACCATTTGGACCCCCCTAGATTTGTGTACAGCGGAAGATTACGTGCAACTGTAGCTAGTGAATTTTCAGTGGTTGATTACTGAGCTACAGCTCCCATAGTGCCGAAAATTCTGCTGACCAGTGCTTTGGCCTTACATAGCAAGTGATATTTGAGGCCTGCACACTTAGCATTAGTAATAGCAGAGAGTGGTAAAACTGGGGACTCAAATCAAGTAGGTTTTATGGATGGAGTTCAATTTCCTATATCAATTATCAATACAAAGTTAACCTCATGAGTTGGGCTAGTTCATGAGAGTCTAATTGATGTATGTAGTTTCTGAACACCACTTCACAGTTTCAACCAAATGTCCAGTGATCACTTTTTCTTGGTTCTATACATTAGGCCAAGCTGCTGCCCCATTTCAGTCCCTCCTATCCTGGAAGACACACTAGGATGAATGGAAGAAAGATGTCAAATTTAAACCAACAAATTAGAAAAAAAAGGGAGATGGATGTACACCACCATAAATGCTGCGGCAAGCCTTACATATCGATCACTATGTATGCATGTACAACACGATGGAATTTTGACGCGCCACTTGGATTTTTTTTGCTGAGCTGAGCTTTGAGCTGCTGATCGGAATTTCGAGGAAGTCCGCCGAATTCGTACAGATCAGACCGATCACAAATTTCAGATTTCGAGCGGGGACATTTGTTCCCACATATGTACCTAGAGTGCAGTGATGGTGAAGATGATGCCGCTTGCTACAAGATGCTTCAATGTCGCAGTGCGCTGCGGCGGAGGGTGGTCGAACCGTCGATGGACGGGAGGTTTGCATGATGTATGCTACAGAGATAAAAGCGTTGAAGGAGGGATTGATGATCGACTTTCGAAACGTATTCGGTGGGGGTGTGATTGGCTTGAGGCTTGTATGGCGCACATAAAGTAGATCTATAAGATTAAAAAGAAGGCGGAGGAGGGTCTGATGAGACGTGTTTTGGAAGTGAGGTGATGATGTGATGGATTGTGTACAGGATATGTACAACTGGGGGCGTCTGAGCGGTTGGTGGGAATTGAGGATGTGGTTGGAGAGTTTAAAATGATTTCAATGGATTGAATTTGGCGAGAGGCTTTCTTCTCATGCTTCGACCTGACAGCTGCTGCTCGTGTTCTCTGCATTAGAATTGCCACCCAGCAACTTGTTCATGACTGACGAACAAGTCAAGGCACGACACTCCCACTCTTCGACTCGCAAGTTCAGCCGTGCTCAACCGCTTCCACACCCTTAACAGCTGATAACACAGATCTTGTGCATTAAGAACTGCCCCGCTTCACGGGACGTAGCTGCTCCCCCTCCTCCCCCCACAGAAAAAAGAAGAAGAAACGAAAACACAGTCAGTGAACTCGCAGCTCAAAAGTATTAGCCGTCCTTATCCTAAGCTCTTCTTCCTCGGCAACAGCAGTATTCTATCAGCACCGAAAGTCGTTATCGCTCGTTATCGACTGGAGGAACACGGTCAGCAGTCTATTCTTCGTTCTCATGAATAGGGTGTATTCAGTTGATTGCGCGCGTATATAGTGGCTCATAACTCCTCTTGCTTTTTTTTTCCCCAGTGTGTGCTGTTGCTTTCGATTTGCACAAAACCAAAACCAAAAAAAAAAAAACCAAAAACTCAGATCCAAATTGCCAGTTGAACATATAATAACACAGCAGCTGAACACGAGGAAAGAAACCAGTCCGCATACACACAACTCTTTCATCCTCCTCTCCTTCCTTCCAAGTTCTAGTTTGGTCAACAGACCCACAAGCAGTACCCTCTCTTCCCCATCTCCCTCTCTTCTTCTTGACCACTCCACCACTCAACACCAACCACTCAACATTAACCAACCAACCAACCAGCAAGTCATCAAACAAACCAGAACAAGAACAAAAAAACATATCAAACAAACACCCCCCAAGAAAACTCAACCAATGGGAAACTGTTACTCGAGCTTCTTCAACTCCGATCCAGATCATCTACAGCAAGTCAAGGCTTCAAAGATCATCGACAAGACACTCAAGGAAGATGAGAAGCAGATGACCAAGGAGGTCAAGATCCTCCTCCTCGGCGCGGGAGAGTCAGTAGATACATCCCACACACCCCTCTATCTATCTAGATATAACACATCTGGTTTCATCATACTCATTCATCTGCAATTCCCTTCTCTTACACCAATCCCAGGTCGGGCAAGACTACCGTTCTCAAGCAGATGCAAATCGTTCACAACCGCGGCGGATTTACTTCTTCTCAGAAGGAACACTATCGCCAACAGGTTCGTCGTCCCCCCCGCCAAACCTTCAGCTCATCGATTCACTATCTACAGACACTGACCCAGCTCTTCTTCAACCTCCTCCTCCAACAACAAATCTACAATTCATCGATCTCATCCCCTCATTCCACTTGGCCCTTAGGTGTTCATGAACATCTGTGAGGGGATGCGCTTATGTTTGGAAGTGATGAGCAAGGAAGAAATCGAGCTAGAAAATGCCGACCTCATGGTCCGTCTCCGATCCCTCAATCAGCCTGATCCCTAGCCAAACCTCATTTTCGCAATCATCCATGAACTAACCGTATCGGCCGGATTAACAACTTGTAGAAATTCGTACCGATGTTCAACCATTACGTAGATCTCGAACCACGACAACCCTTCCCAATCGAATACCTCGAGCCTCTCAGTCTCTTTTGGGTCGATGGCGGAATTAGGAAAGCAATGGATTCAGGAAATGAATGGGCCCTGCCAGAAAAGTGCGTTCTATCGTGAAATAAACAAGGAAGACTTCAGAGCAAACCATAAATCACATCAGAATCTTCGACTCCGTGCAGCTGGCTTGATATTAACTGACTCGTTTGATGTCTTTTTGTTTTTTGATTACCTGCCCGCGCACATCCACCGTGTTTAGCATGAACTAGTTGAGTCATCCCCGACGCACCCCATCATCTAGGCCGCTGAACAGAAATATTGATTACGATTGTGCCCTACAGTTTCTTTCCCGAATTAGACCGGTTATTTGAACCATCATATGTGCCCACAGATTTGGACATTCTACATTGTCGAGGAAAAACAACTGGGATAACGGAGACTACGTTCAACGTATCCGAGCTGACTTATCGGTGGGTCTCAACCCCGGGATTTCCGTATTTTTTTCTCTTAGAAGCAGTGGATGTAATGTTAAGTATGGCGATTGACATGGGCACTTTACAGGATGTTTGACGTGGGAGGACAGAGAAGTGAACGAAAAAAGTGGATCCATTGCTTCGAGGGCGTGACTGCAGTCTTATTCTTGGTCGCCATTTCTGGTTATGATGCTCGATTGCTGGAAGACGGAGATGCTAATCAAATGCAAGAAGCTCTAATGTTATTCGACACAATCACAAATTCGCAATGGTTTACTCAAACTTCTATGATCCTATGTTGCGTAACCTTCCTTTCAAATCTGTTTGTTAAATGTAGCCCGACTGGAAACTGATATAATCCAATCACCCTCCCTATTGCGCTCGGAAACAGTTTTGAACAAGACTGATTTATTCAAGCAGAAACTTTATTATTCACCCATTTCAAAACACTTCCCAGGTACGACATGACCCACAAAACGTTTGTTAAAAGACATGCAAAATGCTCACCCCGCTCAATTTCTCCTTCTTTGTCCACGCAATCTGAACGAGGATAGATTACCAAGGGGATGGCACTGATTACGAAGCCGCTCGATCATATTTCAAGGACCGATTTGTCCGGCTGAATCGGTCGACAAAGAAGGAGATTTACACCCATGTAAGTCCATCTGTCCACCTCTTTAATCAAAACCATATGATTAATTGATCGTTTTTTTACTCCTTTTTGTTGATAGTATACATGTGCTACCGATACGTCTCTGATGCGAGTGGTCATGGCTTCAGTAACAGAGTGAGTACTCCCTCCAGCCAGCGTGTGACCTAAAGTCCAAAAACAATGTGCTGACTTGTTTCTCCCAACAAAAATCAAGCATTATCATCACGCGAAATCTTCAAAGCATTATTCTATGAAGAACATAATTTTGGTAGCCCGTCTCCTCACCTCCTTCAAAAATCACATCTTCAATCGCACGATCCATCCATCGCATTCCTCTGTTTTGTTTTGTTCTAACTTATCACAAGTACCATCTCATCTTATGTCAACTTGCCAGGTGTTTTATTATTTATGAAAAAAAATGCATTTTTTTGGTCTATTTGGTTATCTCATTTTCTTCTCCTCCTCCTTCTCCTCTTCTTTTGATGATGGTGATGAATCACACTTCGAATTTTGATTTAGTGGCTATGTTTTCTGTCTTTATTCAGATTTTTGGTCTTGTCGGCTTCGTTTCTTTTTCTTTGTTTGCATGTTCTGATCTTCCCGCTTATTCTAGACCTTACATTCCACTTACATATACTCAAACACCCAAACAAACACATACACTTTGACACTCTTTTTCCAATCTTTCGGTCTCGTCTAGTATCTACCCTTTCCGTTCGCCCTCGCTTGTTCGCATACCTACCTCTCTCTCTCTCTATCTCCAACTCTCTCTTCCTCTCTCCTTTTATGTGTGTCTCTGTGTCTACCTTGTTTTATTTATCTCCTTTAATCACTCCTTGTTTTCCTTTTCAAGCCCCCTATTTCATACATTTATCAGTTTACATATATTGTTATTTATTTATTTGAATATATCATTTCTTCAAAAGTTCAATCTTTCACCCCTTCCTTGCTTCCTTCTTTTCTTTTTATTTTTATCAATAAATTAAAAAAAAACATTTGGTGGTGATATTGTGACAACAGGTCTTGTGGAAGATTGATTCTTACATTTTTTTTATGTTGAGGGCCTTTTTTTCTGGTCTTCTTCTTGGTCTGTCTTCTAACTTGTGTGGAAAAGTCTGCGCTGTGTTTCCTCTAATATGCCTCCAATGATCGCTTATCCACTGGACTGCATGAACACAGGGAAAGTGCCGGGTAACCCATGTGGTCTCAACTCACACAAGCCCAAGCACAAAACTCACTTGCAGGATATGCTGGCATCTGATAGCCAAGAAAGTGCGAAGGCTCATGATCAATGATGATCAGATTGTCAGATCCTCAATGACGTATCTAGGGACCTGTCCCTAGAGTTACAACTTACGTACCGTTCACAGTGCAAAACAAAAGACTAAACAGAACAAATGTACATATTTAGCATCCCCAGAAACGCATAAACAAAGGTTTAACAAAAAATAATCATCTCAACCGTTTAGCCGCAAAAGGTCAGACGAAGGAATAACCCAACGGCCGGGCAAAAGGGTCTGGCCGGGAATTGAACCCGGGACCTCACCCAAGCGCTCGACGGAAGCCCTAAGGGTGAATCATACTACTAGACCACCAAACCGATGACGTAACACTACGGGCAATTAGGTCACGCTCCCGCGCGGAACGTCACCTAACCCAAGGGGGGCCCCTTTGGGTTAGGTGACGCTGCGGGCCGCAGCGACACCTGTTTGCCTGTAGTGTAATCCGGGGATTTGCGGTCCTCGAACTTATTGTGCCCAGTCACCCGCCCCAGTCACCCGCGAGCAATTATAAGCGCGACGCAATTCTGATTTCTTATTCTCATTCTCTTTGCGGGCTGCGCCGCTGCGTAGTAGGACCTCGGCAAGCCCCCCAATAGGGGGGTGTTGAAAAAGGTATGCTAAGACCATCTCCACCGCGCAGAGTCATCTGAGTTGGTAGATTTACAACCTCGGGGACTGCGGCGGATGGATAGCAACCCTTGGAAAAATTATTTTCCACTGCAGGGTGCTATCCACACTCCTGCTTTGTGAAAGGCCCTCCCACGGAGGGGGGGAAGTCCGGATTTCACCAGGATGACCCTGTGAAACCGTTGGGTTGGTATAGCGATTGCACATCTAGCAACGCTATACAACCCGAGGGGGGGAAAGCTATATTTACCTCCCCTTTAGCACCCCCGGTGGCAGGGGAATTTTGGGCTTGGGGAGGTAAATTTAGCTTACCCGCGCAGTTTACCTCCCCGGGTGGAGATGGTCTAAAATCACAAAAATACCAAAAACATACTCTTGAAGAACCTTGAAAAAGGTATGAATTATCATTTTGGGCCAATAAGGTGCTCTTGAGATTGCACATTTTAGGTATGTAGGCTGGTCAAAACCAGTAAAATCCCGAATTTAACCCCGAAAATCAGAATTAATTTGGGGAACCCCTCCTTTTGGGGGGATTTTGGCCTGAGCATACTCCTGGAAGTGGTATGAATGTCCCAGAAAACAGGTATGAATTTGGCCAAAATTCAGACTTTTTCAACACCCCCCTATTGGGGGGCTTGCCGGGGTCCTTGCGTAGTCCACCAAGCCCATGACATGATCCCATCCCTTGTTGTGATCACCTCGACAAGCTCTGAGCATCAGATGATACACAGAATTTTTCGTGCTTACGTCATCGGTTTGGTGGTCTAGTAGTATGATTCACCCTTAGGGCTTCAATCGGGCGCTTGGGTGAGGTCCCGGGTTCAATTCCCGGCCAGACCCTTTTGATAATTGATCGTTTTGACTTGTGCGGCTGTTGTTCTGGAAGCGTTGTCTTTGCTTTGGAAAGCAACAATGCTCGGGGAACTTGGTGTTAGTAAAGGCAACTTTTTTGATTTGCACTGTGTGTGGGAAGTAGTGACGACTGGGGCAGGCCATGCTCAAATGAGAATCAGATGGTCTTCTTCTTATTACAGTTAGATCAAGCCCGATGGTCTTCCACCCTTCTGGAGTGAATCGATCACTGGGAAATAATCGGATTTCTTCCCCAAGATTGTACATAACTTCCGTATGCCCAGTAATCGATGAGTCAAGAATTTTATCTTCTCTTCTGCAGCTAAGTGGTTCGCACAAGCGAAAGTGACATTCCCGCGTGATTCTTGATGAGCTAACAATATATAAATCTATCCAGTCTTGCCACTTCCTTGTGGAACCAAAGTGGGTCGAGACCAAGTTATTTATCCTCATTTAAACTCGAATACCTCATTAAATCATTTTTGTGATGGATTCTGTGGTGCTTATAAACCCAAGAAAAATTTGCTTCAATACCATCTAAGTAGAGCTCGGATGAAATAGCCTACCTTCTATGAGATGTTGTGTCCTCGAGACTGAGTCGAGCAGAGTCAGTCCTCTTGACCTCATGGCTGAAGCTCTCCCAGCGTATCACCAAGCCTCGTTCATCTGTTTATCTCTCAGCCTCTACCATGGAGGTTATCGGCTGGTGATCCGCGGGCTCAAAGTGAAGGGTTTAAATTTTAATATGAAGACATGGGTAAACTGATCATTTTCGTCGACAAAAATTAGTTCAGACTTATGAGCTCGAATCTTAAGCATTAACACCTTCTCTGGATTCATCGATTCCGACAGCTCATCGGCCGGGAAACTCTAGTAGTCCGACGAGCAGAATGCGTGTCCTACAAGACCCAGGAATATTCACATACAAAACACTGCAAGTCAGTGCTGGCCATACGTATCGTGAGGAAATAATTCCCTTTCACTTCATTCAAAAATAACATGGTAGGTCTAGGTCCGGATTGACTCTGGCTTCATTCATCCAACAGGTTACATTGATCAATGGCCCACCCAGAAAGATGGAGCTCCCATTGTGCTCTGTCTGCATGGATTCGTAAGTCCTTCTGCCCCTGCCCCTAGGCCGAAATGGATAATATGATGGCTAATCAGTTTGAAAGACATGGCGAAAATTTCTAGCCCGAGCTGTATGTATGAGATCTCTTGCTTCGTTTTTTGTGTCGATTTTCTCTTTTTCAATTGATCACTGTTCTACAGCGCTTTCAGTTGGAGGTATCAAATTGTGGACCTGGTGGGCAGGGGATACCGTGTGATAGCACCAGACTTACTTGGGTCAGCAGCCTTTTCTCTGCTACTTCGTATGAACGATGTGCATGCATTTTCCTTCTGATTTTGATTGGGTCACATTGCCTAACTACTCCGAAAATCTAGGTTTGGTGGTACCGTGAGCTCCTTGCTTTTTTTGTTTTCAAAAGGTTCTTCATCTCATTCAAGTCCATCGTCCTGCGGCGATCTCAACGGTGAATTCACAGTCAAAACCGACGGAGGTGGAAGCTTACGCCAAAGCGAGTATGTGCAAATCTATGGTTGAGATTCTGGACCATGAAGGCGTGGCAGGAAAAATAACGATTATTAGTCACGATTGGTTGGTGCCAGCTTGATATTGATCTAGAGTAAACCCCTAAAATCCATAGGATTTAAAAGAGAAACTTGCTAATCAGGTGAAGTAATGTTACCAGGGGATCAATCTTGGCCGCCCGCTTCTTGTCATACCATCCTGAGAAGGTCAAATTTTGGGCAACGTAAGCTTGTTGTAATCGCATGCCTGTGCTTCTCTTTCTAAATTCCAAAATTCAATTTTTACACGAGCTTGACTTTTTCTTCGTTGGCACCGATTTTGGCGTCAACAGACTCTGTGTTCCGCCGACTGCACCTGCTGAATTCGGCCCAGAAGTAGATTACGTTGAGATGATTAGAGAGCACATGCCACAGTTAGGGTGAGGAACTTTTTAGTCCATGTCACCTTCCTCTCTTCTCGATACCTTGAGCTTGACGAACAAAGATTTTCCTCAGCTATCAAATCTACTTCATGTCTGAAGAATCCAATGAAGAGATGGATCGGTATTGTCAGACTGCTATGCTTCTATTATACTTTCACTTAGAAAGGGGACTAGAGCCGTCGATTGAGGAGAAACTTTTGAAGTACAAGGATGAGTCGATCATGTATGAGGGAGTTTTTCGGAAACAGTTGAAAGAAATGGGCGACGAATTGGAATCGATGACGATTGAAGATCCTGTGAGTCTTGACCCCTCAAACCCAATACCTACCAAACCAGCAATCCAAAACACCCACCTCTACGTCTGTCCACCCTGCCTTCTCTTAGGAAATATCATACGTGATCTCAGAAGTGAAAAAGAGTGGCTTGTCGCCGGCCTTGAATTGGTACCGAGTGAGCCACCGGACAATATGGTTGTCTTATTGGACATCAAATTGACATGCTAAGCTGTTCTTCCGACCCTCCTTCAGGCTCGGAAAGTAGATGAAACAGATGAAGAGGGTAAGGGCCAGCTGTTCTTCTTTCAATGTGGATTTGAATCAGGCAGAGGTCTTGGACCGAGGTGAACCGATTTTTCTTTCAAACGAAACTCTCCGATATTAGCTGCTCTCCTACCCGAGGCTTTCAGTAGCGACATCCAATGTATCTTCATAGGCGCTCCACAGGATCCAGCCTTACCACCTGGAATGTTCACTGAAGACTTGAAGATGAAGATGTTCCCTTCGGGCAACATTGAATGCACAAATATTGGAGGCGGTAATCACTTCTTCGCGGAGGTGAGTCCAATAATCAGCTGTATTCTTATTGTTCATTGGAATAAGATTTAGTGATTGGAGATGTTATCTTGTCCCTATTTGGATGACTACCCAGGCCCCCAGTCATCGGATTAAGGTCACACAAGTCTTGGGCGACTGGATTGACAAAAAGGAAAAAAAAAACTGCTAGCTGTTAAGAGAACACCTAATCCGGAAAATCAATTGACAGCCTAAAGCTATGTGTGCATCTCACCAGTATATTTGGAAGGTTTCCTTTGACAGAAATAAGCCAATCTTTGGCACTTAAATATGTGCTTTCTTCTGAACACCATCAGCAATGAACCTGAGCAATAAAGAGTGAAACAAACGATGGCTCAAGTACATATGGCGGCCAAGTGCATAGTGCTAATTGCTGGACTATTGAAGGACTGTGACTGATCCAATAAAGAAAAAAGCCAGTTGAGTGCAAATTACAATGACCAAACCATCTAAACACAAGAATTCAAATGTCCCAACTGATCATGAAAGGAATGTTAAGAGTGAAAGCAGTGACAATCCTGTAATAATGGAAAACACCACTTCTGTCTTGAAAAGATATATGACTGTGTCAGTGATGTGATTTAGAAAACAATCATCTAAGTTAAATAATCTTTGTCTTTGTCCATGGACTGTTGAAGGTCATGCAGAAAACAATCAACCAAATTAAACAATGTTTGTCTTTCTCCATGGAATGTTGAGGTAAAGAAAAGAGCTTGACATCAAAACTAATAAAGAATAGGGTGGAGGAAAGTTAAGGCTTTGCCTATGTTGTGAATTTTTTTATTATGTGACCTTCCAGACTTGCTTTTTGCCTTTCCTTTATTGATTCTTAAGATGGAGAATGAAGAATAGTGGCACATGTGGTGAACTACCTTTGCTGACATATTATCTGACTGGCTGTTAGTTCCAAGTGATTGCAAACATTGCACCTTTTAATTCCTGGCACCACTGCACCCAACATATTGAAGAAAACTGGGGTACAGGAGATATTCAGAACGTTAAAATCCTGTAATGAGGGCCTGTCATTACCTGAAGTGGCAGCACAATCAAGAAGTTAGAACCACATCCTTCAAATAAAAAAGGGGCTTGGAAAAACGACTCCTAAAAATTAGTCGACGACTCCCGTTTTGGTCGGGAGGTCGTCGAACGGGAGTCGTTCTTCAAGTTCCAATTCCCCCCAAAAAAAGGGGAGTCGTCGTCCTAATTTCAATGGTGATTTTTTAATTTTTTTTATTAAAAAAATGGGAGTCGCCCGCCTAAAGGGCGGGAGTCGTCGTACCAATTTAGCCAAATATTTTTTATTTTTTTTCATTAAAAAAATTGGGAGTCGTCCGCCTAAAGGGCGGGAGTCGGCGCCCAAATTTATCCAACTAATCTAATTTTTTTTTATTAAAAAAAAAGGGAGTCGTCTGCCTAAAGGGCGGGAGTTGGCGCACCAATTACAACCAATATTTTAACCTTTTTTCTGCATTAAAAAAACGGGAGTCGTCCAACTCAAAACAGGAGTCGTCAACCTCTAGCGACCCTAAAAACTCAAAAAAAAAGTTCAGCCACTGGGGCCCCGCCCCAAAGGCACTTTATCAATGATTAAAAATTAGATTCATTGAGAAAAACAAATTCAAGAAATAATTGAAATAAATTGATGAGATGTTGAGAAATGTAAATTAAAAAACAATGAGAAATGTAAGAAAAAAACAGGGATAAAAGAATTCAATTGATGAGAATATAAGAAAAAATACATGGTAAAAAAGGACAAAGAGGAAAAAAATCAAAAACTAAAAAAGACACAGGATAAAAAAAGGGGGTTGGAAAAACGACTCCCAAAAATTAGTTGACGACTCCCGTTTTGGTCGAGGGGTCGTCGGCTGGGAGTCGTTCTTCCAAAAGATGGCCGACTTTGTGAGTCGGCCATCAAATGTTTTTTTTATATTTTTAATTTATTTTTGGGGAGTCGGCGCCCGAACCCGCCCCTCATG